TTGGGTTGGGCCACCGATTGGAGGCATTACATCGGCTTAGTGTACAAGTAAGTGAGGCCAAATAAATATGGCAATTTTATCTTTTTTATTTAGATTTATTTCAATATGTGTCCTCAATCAACCTCATAATTCATTATCTATGCTGGAGGTATCTATAAGATAGAAAAAAAAAAAAATAACCAACACAATCCTTTTGAAAATTCAGAAATTGCATCCAGCAACATAATTTTTACTAAGATTGAATAGTGAATTAAATATTTTTTATTATTTTGGTGCTCATTTTTCTCTTTCTCCTCTTCAATAAATACCAAAAGTTTCATTTAAAAGCTGAAAAATAAATGATGGTGTCCTCTGAAATAATTATTGAGTTTGGACTGCTTCTATGTCAAAATCCTGCCACCAGAGGGCGTACTTAACACAACCATTTTAGCAATGAACAAACTCAATTCACTAATCACAGAACTTGATTTAAATTCTGTTAATAAATTTTGTAAAAAAAATAATCCAACTTTTCTTATTTTCTTTCTTCCATAGGCTGATTGTTGCATCCCCAGACAAGAGATGGGTTTTGAAAGAATAACTTAATATTCAACATGAAGGTCACAAGGTCACACAACAACTTCTATCTCTAACTGCAATATTCAAAAGATTTATTTTAACCATAATATTAATAAAACCTTTGACCTTTACAGAAGTGATTACCCAGAATCCTTTAGAGGTTATGTGTAGGAAGATGGTTGCAATGATACTTTTGTATCAGTAGATAATAACAGTGATAACAAAATATAGCTCTTTTTGAAATTTGTCTGTTAACTTTTTGATCGCCATAGTAACCTTTTGTCACTATTCACATAATTAAATCCGGAAATGTTTTATGAAATGTTTGATTAAAATCTGTAGGTACCTCAAAATTATATAATCAAGCAAAATACATGAAAATTGGCAAAATGTTAAATTGTAGTTGAAAAAATCACAGCATTCAAAGATTTAACAGACAGTATATTATTTATTACGCATCATATTGAGTTGACAGTTTCTTTTTAGGGATCAGCCCATGTATTCTTTCCACATTATTATTAAACTGTGATGTGATATGCCTTGTAATCTACCAGTAGTGGATTCAGTATAAAGTGGTAATAGAATCATCTCTGTATGGCAATGTGTAATAGTATAGTGGACAATTTATTAAATAATGGCCAATTCACCAGCATTGTTATTACAATCTTCGTGCATTCTGACAGATTATTGTGTTGTCTGATTCACGCATAATTTATGCAGATCTGGATTAGCTAATTTGCATATAATATATATGCAAATTTAAATCATTTGAATTTGATCAAGAGATCATTTAATAGTGACCAGCAATCAACATAATGTCAATAAATTACCAAAACAAATGGTTTGTGTCTGAACTTGTTGTGTTCGAATGGCAACAAAAATAATCTTGTCATAAGAAATGTTAAAAATTATGTAGTTATATAGATTTATCTATTTATTTGTTTTGAAAATCTAAGTTTTTGTTGATGACCAGTTCATTTATGATACAAAACCTAATATTGTTCAATGTTTTGAACATATCAGACTGTTTTATTCTTCTCCATATGTATTAACCATTTCTGTAATTCTTTGAAATATAGACAAAATACTCAATATTACTAAAAAACATTTATAAAAATATTAGTTTGTATAATACATGTATATTAATACTTTCTATACTAGTGTTTCCTACTAGAATATCTACATTGAAATTGAAATGAATGTAGCAGCGCCCTCTTGTGGCATAATAGTAAATATTTAAGAACCTTTTCTCTCTGCCATCTTGAATTTTCAAGATATATGTTCCCGCTTACTGCCTGCACATATGGAGAGGGATGAACAAATATGAAAGTGTGCGAGCGGACGATGCTTTGTAACATGTTATATGAATCGTTTAATTAAAGCTTGTCTTTCTTCATCCTAAAAATGTTAATAATTTGATTTAATTAGTCAAACATGAAGTTGGTACTGACCGTAATTTGTTAATCTCTAAGGTCAATGCTGTATAGTTATTTACTCATCAGCTCAAATACACCAAAATACACAATATCAAGTTGCCTTTATATACAAACTGTCTAGTTATTATTTGCCATTAGTTATAGCTGATATCAAAAATATCCATCTTCCACTTTTTTTTTCGCGAAACTACTTTGGGAAAACAATTTTATTTTCTGTAAATAACTACAGATAAATTGCTATATATTATTGTCATATAATAGTATTCATAATAGTATTCTGTCATGTATCAAGGTCATTTATAATGTAACCCTCTGAGCACAAAGATCAAATTCAGGCACCGTCTACAAAATAGTTCTGTTTGTAGCCTGTGTTTTTTTCACAGAAAGTGTTGAGGAAAATTTCAACCTTTTTTGATCAAACACTAAAAGCAATGTCATATTTTGTCTGTTTGGTTCAATATTAAGATTGAATCCAGTGTAAATTACTGAAAATATTAACAATTGTAACCTATTCTGAGTGGGAAAATAATTTGGTGCTAAAAGGTTTAAACTTGTCAGTTATTCCTATGAATTCAACACTTTAAAACAATAGTTAATTTTGTTCTGTAGATATGCTAATTATATCAAAGACATTGGTACATTAAATAGTAGCACAGATCTTGAAAATAAACTTTGTCTTTGTTGTTTATATCTCAAACTGTATAAATCAATGTGTTGACCCTAGTATGATTAATAGTTTTAACGTGTTCAACGCATTATATACACAGTACACTGTGAGTTAGAAATGTATAAAGAAGACACTGCATGACGAGCATTCACACATTTGTTTACTGCTGTTATTTCAAATAAAACTGCTGTAAAGCATACTCCAGTTAATGGAAGCTGAAAATGTTAGATTTTATAGTTGATAATACATACAGTTTGAGATACTTTGATTAATCATGGGAAAATGATGCAAATTTATCTAGGACTTTCAGATTTTTAACAAATTATTTTAGAATATTAGAATATTCAAAAACATAAGACTGTAGTCCATCAGGAAACTGAATGTTCCAAGAATGTATAATAATGTGCAGGTTGAATAATGGCTGGGGATGTGAGGTACAAGTATCTCCAGGTTGTATTATTGGAAATTATTGTGATATAAACTAGAACTTATACAACCTGGACACATCACTAGTTTGAGATGTTTTGAATAAACATCAAAAACGATGAATTAAGTCTGACTTAATTACCAAAACTGCATACACTTATACTCAGAAAGATTTTAAGCATAAGAGGTTAACTTTAATTTAAGGGGATTCTAAATTGTGGAAATTAAACTATTTTGCAACAGTAGGACAGCATAAGGGATGAAAACACCATATTATAAGTGGATACATCAGAGAATGCCTAATATTAAACAAATAAAAAAATATTTGACATTGATGATCCAGAAAAAAAAACTGCTAGGGTAACTGCTACAGTGATATGAACTCGGGCTTCTGGCACTGCAAGTCAACTTTCACCATGATGCTTACACTAGGTTCTGTTTGTCTTCACTAACAATGGTCTCCACACTTTGGACACCGTTGCTCAGTACATTGCTTCATCAACCGGGAATGTCATAATGTCATATAAGCTTACAAATGTAGTGTTATGACAACATGACAATCTGCAAATTTACAGATGCACGGAATGTTGGTGAATTTATGTGGGGGAGAGTTGGTAAAGTAAAGTTAAAATCATATTGTTCAAAGTTGTACAAAAAGTTTGCAAAGTTACAGTAAAAATCCGTATTATCGCATGGTATGTCTGCAAAGATGATAAATTCATGTGGCAAGTTAAGTTGCTAAAGTTGCA